GGTATTAGCATACGACTTTTGGAATATAATTTTGTACAATACTTATTTCCTCTAAAAGATAATTTTATGTGGGCAAAATTTTAATGAGTTTACAGAGCTTTCGAGGTTCAGATATTAAGATGCTTTAAGAAACATAAGTCCATTCTCAAAATTATCTTAATTTCAGGAACTTTACATGTAGTACATAGTACATTTATACTATAATACATAACAACAACTCGAACTATGAAACCAAACAACAAATACAACTATCTACAAATCATACATCACATACTACACATCATACAAACAGCATCACATCATATGTCTATATCACACACACAACACCCAACACACACACCTACAATAATGATTGAAAATCTTCAAATGCCTGTTCTAAATACACACACATTCAAACTACTTCTGTTCTCACAAACATGAAGAAAGGGTAGCTTTGTTATATTAACCATACATATAAAAGATCTATATTAAAATCTTATCTATAATAATATTCTTATTCAGGATAACTAATCTAATTATATATTTATTGAGCTTGTGTTAATTGTAACATGATATAATAAAACACTATGAGACGAAGCTATTAATATACTAATAAAGTTGAATATAGTGGATGTGGTGTTGATGTCGTGATAAGTTGATGTTGTTCGTCGTCGTTGTCGTGCTAGTGTACGAATATATCAATACTAATAACTTCATCAAAAAATTAATAAACATAAAAAACTATATGATTAGAATATGTGGATAGTAGTATAAAATAAGTCACATGAAACTAATACAGTTAATTTAACATTATATCTTAAGTATGTATATATAACTTACATAATAATAAATAATGCTCGTCGATGTGTGGATGCGCATATGTCTTTAGTTGTGCCTGCTATTCGTACTTCAATGATCTTGAGCGAGTGATGCTCGTGTAAATGTAATAATCACACACACAATCAACGTGACCACAAGACGCAAATTCATGGCACAAACACCAACTCAAGCTATATTATAATCTATCACTGGCAAGGCAAACGACCTTATATACTCCATGATGTTTGTGTATTATTTATACTTTAACATCTTTCTTGTTTTACTTTTGGGGTTCATTAGTAAGAACTGGGGGATCTTAATAATGAGGTTTGAATACCTATAATTTTCCTAATATATATATATAATATATATATTAATTCACTACTGATCGAAGTTACGTAATAAAGAATATCACCTACATATATGTGTGTGTAGTGATGCTTGTGTTATTGTTGTAGTTGGATATGTGTAGTGTGTCGTGGTGTTGCGTATGATTGTATGATTTAGTGTCTATGTGACGTGGTGAGTCTTGTGTAATAAAGGATAGCCGGTTTAGTAGTGTGTGGGGGTGTGTGTCGTGTCAGGGTAGTGTATGTAAGTTTAGTATCTGTAGCATGCGTGAGAAGAGATAAGTGAGGTATGTGGATGATTGAAGTGTGTGGCGGTGGTGATCTGAGTTGATAGGCTTAGCATCACAATAAATAAATTATATACTATATATATAATATATATATCAACTCGTTTTTGGATTTATATTGTAATAAAGTAAAAAAGGCTACTTTCTACTCACAAGGCTTCTTACTCTATCTTCAATCTATACTCTTCTATCTCTAGGCTGTATTCTCCAGTAAATCGCTATCGTATATATATCTATCTCTATCCCCTACTCACTAGTCTCCATATTCTCTCTCCTTCCCTCTCTTCCTTCATATATATATTCATCTCTATCTAATTCTATATCACTATCTCTAGTTATTACCATTAATTCTCTCTCATCTTATATTTCTTTCTAATCTATATTGTGCATGATACATCATATATCTCGACATTTATTTCATCTATTTATTTTATTTCCTATCTATATAGACTTTACTATCTATATATATCTCATTCCATATACATCATCACTTCACTCTTATATCTCATTATATTACTCATATATCTCTGATCCTCTCTATATTCTTACTCATCTCTATCACTACACACACACTCGCTCCCACACATATAATATAATATATATATATTATAATATATATATATATAACCGCATGTACAATATACTATAGCGGTGAGCGTCGCCAGTGAGTAGCATTCGCTATCTACATAGAAGTAATAATATAAGTAATTTGATATTATATTTACCTATATCAAGTCTAATATTTTAAATGACTATCACCTTGGAAAAAGATAATAGCATATCAATTTATTAATCACAACATATACGTTTATTCCTCTACATTCATAAGAAATGATCACGAATGAAAACAGTATGAATATTATTATGCTCATTATATATGACTTATAATTTATATCATATAAACACTCTCAATTAATTCATATTATTACGTTAACATAGTCATTTCTGAGCTACCTGAAAATAGAGTATGTCTGTGCTGCTTGTGCTGCTGAATATATCAGAGTGAGAGTTATCTATATATTATATATAGCTATGGTATACGTAACTCAATATATATAAACCCAA